GGCGGGAGGCCCGCCGAGAGCGTCCTCTCCCCGCAGCCTCCCCCCCGCGAGGGCCTGTACAAGTGCTTCAGCAAGGAGGAGGGGGTGAACTTCATAGACGGGAGCCCCCTGCCCAGCCCCCGCCGGGGCCCCCCGCGCGCCGCCCCCTGCTCCCTCCTCCCCCAGGTCTTCCTGCCCCCGGCGGGCGGGTGCCCCAGCTTCCCGCTGACCCGCTTTGAGCGGGAGCCCCAGGGGCTGCGCAGGTTCCCGGCGCCGGGCAGGGGGGACACCCTCACCGTGCCCAGGCCCCCGCACGCCCACGAGGACCCCAGAGGCCTCTTCCCTGAAGGAAACCGGGGACCAGTCCCTTTCAAACTCGGGGAGGGCCAGGCCCTGGGCAGCCGCCCCGCAAGCAGCAGCTGCTCCGAGGCCGGGGGATTTCGGACGGGGTTGAGCACCACCTGGGCGGGGCAGGAAAACCTCCAGAAAGTGGGGAGCACCACGAGCTTTCTGAGCTCCCCGTCTGCCTCGTCTGGGTACATCACCTTCCACTCCGACTCCTTTGGCTCGGCCTCCTAGGCCTCCCCGACACCACCTGCCGCGCAGGCGGGTTTTCCGCGGCTTTCCTCGCGCTGGTCCACGGCGCGGCCTCGGGCGAGGAGCGGGAGCTGGGCCTGGCACCAAGAAACCTGAGGCCCTTCTCGTGCCCGACGGAGGGCGGCAGAGAGACTGGCTGGAGGAACGTCTGAGCCGAGGGCGGTGCAAAAACCTTTGAAATTCCTACTCAGGTGGACAAACCCGCAGCATGGGCCTCCCAGAGCCTGGCCACGTGCGGACGGCAGGGGAGCCCACGAGGCGGGGATCAGAGCAGGTGTTGCAGCCGCTTTGTCCCAGGCGGCAGGATGGCGCCGTCCTTAAAGCGCTGGCGGGTGCCGAGCACCACGGTCTCCTGGCGTTTCCTCGTGGCTGTACCACGGGCATCGTTTCTCCCGTGCTCGCTAGCACGTGGCACCCTCCGGCCAGGCTGGTGCTGACCGTCGAGCTCACACATCCTGGAGAGAGGAAGAACGGGGTTTCTCATTCTCTGCCGGGCGCAGCCGCCTTCTCCCCAAGGTAGTGGCCACGAGAGCGCCTTGCGGTGGGGGGAGGGTGTGTGCGTGTGTGTCGCTTCTCCCAGCCCCCTCCCCCTCGCGCGCTGGGACAAGGCCTAGCTAGCAGGAAGGCCTGGCCCGTGCGTGCGCGCTGGCACATGCGGCTCTCACTGCCGTGTGGCGCGTCTGGCAGAGTCCGACGGACACGTGGGCCCAGCATAGGGCAGGTCAGAACACGTCCCGGCCACACACGGCTCTCACTGCCGTGTGGCGCGTCTGGCAGAGTCCGACGGACACGTGGGCCCAGCATAGGGCAGGTCAGAACACGTCCCGGCCACACGCGGCTCTCACTGCCGTGTGGCGCGTCTGGCAGAGTCCGACGGACACGTGGGCCCAGCATAGGGCAGGTCAGAACACGTCCCGGCCACACACGGCTCTCACTGCCGTGTGGCGCGTCTGGCAGAGTCCGACGGACACGTGGGCCCAGCATAGGGCAGGTCAGAACACGTCCCGGCCACACACGGCTCTCACTGCCGTGTGGCGCGTCTGGCAGAGTCCGACGGACACGTGGGCCCAGCATAGGGCAGGTCAGAACACGTCCCGGCCACACGCGGCTCTCACTGCCGTGTGGCGCGTCTGGCAGAGTCCGACGGACACGTGGGCCCAGCATAGGGCAGGTCAGAACACGTCCCGGCCACACACGGCTCTCACTGCCGTGTGGCGCGTCTGGCAGAGTCCGACGGACACGTGGGCCCAGCATAGGGCAGGTCAGAACACGTCCCGGCCACACACGGCTCTCACTGCCGTGTGGCGCGTCTGGCAGAGTCCGACGGACACGTGGGCCCAGCATAGGGCAGGTCAGAACACGTCCCGGCCACACGCGGCTCTCACTGCCGTGTGGCGCGTCTGGCAGAGTCCGACGGACACGTGGGCCCAGCATAGGGCAGGTCAGAACACGTCCCGGCCACACGTGGCTGCTGTTCGTGCTGGCGTGTGGAGCCAGGCAGCTCACACAGAACCCGCTGTGTCCTGAGCCCGTCACACAGACCCGGTTGACATTTCACCCGGACCAGGATGTTTCTCTCCGCTGCTGCTGGGCTTAACAGCAAGACGCAGCCAGACAGTGTGACCGGCCCGGCCTCTGCCGCCGGCCCATTTGCGGGCCAGGTCTTTCCGGGGGTCGCAGAAGGGGGCGGGTGTTTGGCGAGGCGCGCTGATGCCCTGGGCAGAACGCAGGCCCGGATAAGCTTTTGGCACCAGCGAAAGGCTGCGGTAATCGCCCACAAACCGACGTCTCTCCTCGTCCTTTCTCGCCCCTGTGTGTGCACCACAAAGGGAGGAGGGAAGGGGGGAAGAGGCGACATTTCCATGTCAATGGCTGCGTCCCAGCCTCGCTGTTAACCTGCTGTTCTGCACAAAGCAGCCGCTTCGGAGGAGTCAGGGTCTCTGTGTTCTGCCTGGAGAAGAGATGAAGGAGCTGGGGGCAGGAGAAGGGAGACTTTCCGTGTGCTCCTTGGTTTCACGAGGACACTCACTAGTGGGGAGAAGTCACACCCTGCTAGTGACCAGAGGTGAAGAAGTGGGGGCACCCGGGGGTGCAGCTCCAGCAAAAGTCGGCAGGGGCTTATGAAAGGGCCAGCAGGGACCTGGGTTGCAACAGGACAGCACCTGCCTGACATCGCAAGTGACTTTCCCTGCTGCTAGTGACCAAGGGCACCATGTTTGTGCAAGACACTGTGTGCACATGCACAGATCCAAAAAGTAAGTCCTCGACACTTGTACGGGTCACTAGCAAGGGCGCCGTTTCGGGCGGCTGGGGGGCAGCCCTGTGCTCCGGGACGCGGCTGGCTTTTCCTCCCGTTCCGCAGGCGCTAAGGGAGCGAGGGGAAAGTGCCTGCATTCCGTGCATGCCTCTCGCACCTGGCTGGTGAGCTCCCTTCATGCACGGAATGCAAATACTTTCCCCTCGCTCCCTTAGCACTTGGGAAACAGGATGACCATCCCGGAGCGCAGGGCTGCCCCCCAGCCACCCGAAATGCTGAGGAGCTACGTTTTGGATGTGCAGTGGGTGCGTTTGCACGGTGTCTTGCACAGGGGCAGGCACCTGATAGCGAATAGTTAGGCCCAAGGCAAGGGGATGGGCTCAGAGTGTGATTATTCTATTTGATTACTGTGAATAAAATGTTGTTTCTCTAGGGGGAAGGAGACGATTGGCACCTGCTAAGCTACCACCCCGGCTTCAGCGGGCCAGGGACGGAGCCCACCCTGACCAGAGGCACAGAGGGGGTAGAACCATTTGTCTGGGGCCTGTAATGGCCAGTTACCAGACACAGATCTGTGACTCGCTCCATGCAGCTCCATGACTCACCGCCAAGGCCGGAGGCTGCTTGTTCCTGCATGTGGGACCTGGCCACTGGTCACGTGGTCACGTGGCTCCTTGCATTCGTGCGGCTCTCAGCCTCGTTGCTCTGGAGCGGCGTGAGACTGGGGAAGGGAGGCCTGCTGCTTATGGACAGATGCTGGGACCTCCAGCGACTTGGTGGCCTCGCCGTGGCTCCAGGCACAAGCTCGTGACGCTCGTTTCCAGGCCCTTCCACCGCAAGCAACGTGGGACGTGCGAAAACAAAACTGGCCCCCAACCCACCTCCCCTGAGCCTTTGGTTCCCCCCCAGCAGCCAGTGGGGGGGGGGTTTGCGGGA